TATGTGTGCTGTCTGTGCAGCTGTCTGTGGCTGTTTGTGGCTGTCTGTGGGTGTCTGTGTGCTGTCTGTGGGTGTCTGTGGGTGTCTGCGGGTGTCTGTGGGTGTCTTCATGTTTTACTATTACCCTCTTATCAAAGCGCAGAAACTGTCTGTTATCATATGTGCTCTTGTTAACCATGATAACTTCGACGTCAGTTTTAATACGAATGCCGAAACCATCTGTTTTGTAAAAGCCCGGTTCATTCGAAACGAACATCCCGTCTGCCAACGATTCCTCGTATTGATCGTATTCGAATCTGATCACTTGCAGGCCTTCGTTCACACGTAGATACTGACCAATACCATGCCTGAAGAGAGAACAAAATATCAGATGATCAAAATTCGTGTACATACCCTGAAACATGGCCGTAGACCATTCCATCTCTGTACGAGGACATTCGAGCGAGATGATCGAGCGAACGACCATAAGTACCAGTGGGAAAGACGGTCTCGGCAAGAGCGAGTATACCTTGAAGGACGCGTGTATAAGCGCGTTTTTCTAGGCTGGTTGGCGTGCCAAAATGATGGGTTCGTGTAATATCTGTGGTACAATCGAGATATTGACCACCAGCCCATATTGAGAGCAAAAAAATCGAAAAGTCTCATTAGATATTCTCCTCACATCCAGTAAATAGATTTGATCTTTGGTGACTCTTCGAGCTGTAGCCGACTCAGGTGAGTAGTGAACGATGGCTGCTCGACCACCGACTGCTGAAATCGAATTAAAGCTGGGAAATCGAAAGCGTTCTTGCCCTTGCTGACAGGAGATGAGCTGTTCAGCTGACTGCGTCTCGTTAATGATAGCTTGAAACACTCGATGACTAGCCCAAATTTTGTGCACACTTGGATTGGTGGCTGTGGCATTCAATCGAGACCAAAACTCAGCGTAATCAAATATACGAACGGCAAGAAGGGAAGTTCCATTCAGTTGACTCTTATGAACAAACAACGCGGGTGAATTATTGACAAAATTGGCGTGTATAATAGCAAAGGATTTGAAGAGGGGATTGTAGGGAATATCATTTCCGCGTAAACTAAACAGCCATGCGATCTCATCAAGAACACTGATAATCGTGGTTGTTGCACCGAATCGGCTGAGTTCGGTTGCGGTTCTATTCAACTTTTGGGCGATAGTTTCGCCTGCATATTGAAGGGGATGAATGACAATTGGTTTCGCTGATGCAGCTGGTAGCTCATTCGATGTCCATATGTTACCGACTAGATCTCCGACAGGACGTAGTTGTGTACCTATCGAGTTTAGCTGAACATTGGCCGATGACCACCATGAATGAGTACTAAATTCAGGTGTGGCATCCGGTATCTAGACAAACAAACAAGGAGTTAGAAGTTTTGGGCAATCTGTCTACAGTCGCGGACGAAAGTCTCCACTCACTTACAATTTGTCCGTAAGCATCAAATTCAGATCTTTCATAAGACGTTGTAAACTTGTGCGTGACACGTTAAGATCACGTGATGCGCGTCTTTGAGATGGTTGTGGATTTCGACGAAAAGCTTCAGAAACAACTTCGGTGTTTTCTTCGGTTCTGACTGTTATTGGTCTACCACTTCGTGGTGCATCCTCTACAGAACCGGTCTCATCAAACTTTTCTGCCAATCGATAAACTGTTTGTCGAGTTGGAACCTCTTCACCAGGACATTCATTTCCAAAAAGCTGCATCTACTGATGCAAATCTTTTTCCTGACATCCACCATTGCTTGAGAAGAAAAGCTCTTTGTTCTTTTCTTAGTATTCTCGGCATCTACAAACACATAAACACGCGGTAATAGTTACGCACCGAATATCTGGTAGATGTGTAACACAGAAGTACAAGATTGATTAGGAATACACAAAACACATGTAGACGCACGATTGACGAGTATGACCAATGATACAGAAAAAGGCTTAATGTCATGCAAAGTATCAATGTGAATTTTAGCAGAGCGGAAAGAGGAAAGTACGAAGACAGAATATGTCTGGAAATAGCACGTCATATTCATCGATGTGATCGAATCATTATACTAAAACTGAATAAACTGTCTTGTTTTTGTGATGAGAATCATTCAATGAGATGGTGCGCAGTAAAATAAAAAATACCGTATGAAAAATAATTATAAATATCTGCAGTAATAAGCTCTAAATAATTTCCAACTCCGCTTTAATATGTATCTGCCAAACTTACCATTGCTATCACAAGTTTGACATCGACAAGCAGACATACCTCCTTTTGCTCATAGTCGAATGCTAATTCAGAATACATAACTCTTTTTGAAAAATATTTTGCACACAAAATGGCCTTGTCGTTATCTGACTTTTACCGTGCGACGTTAAAAAAATACAAGTAGCGGTTTGTTTTATCGCCAAACTTCGATAAATGAAACTCTTGAGATTCTACAAGGTATGTATGATATGAGTGTTGTTTTTCTCGTTCGGCAAAGGTTAATATAAAGGCCTTCATGCACGTGTTAATATTCATTTTGTAGATATCTACCTTGTTGAATACATACTTGTTATCGTCTGTTTATTGTAAAGAATCTTTTCAACTGTTGCTCCTGCAGATAAACGTCCATCATTAGATCATGTGAGTGTTTAAACTGTATTAATGCCTGGAATTGAGTGAAACAAAAACTCAAAGTAGTAGTCGCATTGCTTTTTTCGGTGAAAATATTTAATTTTCAAAGAGAACAGTCTAAATCATAGGATGAACTAAAGAAAAAAAACAGCAGAAAGCGCATTTTCTTCTAGTTTAAACACGGTACTTGTGTGTG